CCCCATGCCTGCATGCGTTTCTTCTGGGTGCTCTAGTTTCCTCCCACAGTCCAAAGATGTGCAGGTTAGGTGACTTGGCCATGGTATTCCAAGGATGTGCAGGCTAGGTGGATTACTTATAAGAAATGCATGGTGACAGGGATATTGCAGGGGGTAGTAACCCATCTCCCTGACTGTATTTGCAGTTTTTCTACCTTCTTGGAACTGCCATCCATATTCTTGAAGATCCCGCAATCCCCCTGTCACTGTAGCTATCAACCATTGTCTCACATTGTTTAGAAGAACTATTTTGTTTACAGCACAATCTGATACTCGGTGGGATGCTTTTCAGAGGTTCAGCATGGACTCAATGAGCCAAATGGCCTGGTTCCACACTTAGAGAATCTGTGATTCTAATGACTGACAATGTGCACTTGGAGGTCTTTATATTATGACCATTGACTCAATCAATGGTGAAATTTTGCATTTATAAGCAGTGTGCCAAAGAAGACAACATTACTATCACAGCCATAATAATGTGAAATTATTTGGTAGGACTGGGAACCTTCAGTGAAGCACATGTCCCGAGTACAGAAGTAATAGAGAACTTCAATAAATAATAAGTGCCTGTGTAGACAGGGATAATCTTATTTTACTACTGTATTATGCTGTAAACAAAATAGTTCTTCTAAACAATGTGAGACAATGGTTGATAGTTACAGTGACAGTGGGATTGAGGGATCTTCAAGAATATGGATGGCAGTTTCAAGAAGGTAGAAAAACTGCAGATACAGTTGGGAGATGGGTTACTTCTAGCGAAGTAGGAAAGGTAGGTAGGTAGTACAGTGACAGCCAAGTTTCTGAATTCGAGGCTGGCTCTACTGCAATGAGGGGTACATTATTTTCTAAACTATCGATTGTGATAGAGAACTCTCTAGTCAGAGGCACAGACAGATGTTACTGTGGCTGACAACAAGACATCAGAATGGTGTGCTGCCTGCTAGATGCCACGGTCAAGGATGTCTCAGAGAGGATGCAGAATATTCTCAAAGGGGAGAGAGACCAGCAGGAGGTCATTGTACACTGGAACTAATAACGTAGGAAGAGAATAGGACAAAGTCCTGAGGAGAGAATATGGGAAATTAGGCAGAAGGTTAAAAAGTAGGCCCTTGAGGGTAGTAATATCTGAATTAGAATAGATTAGAATATCTGGAATAGAGGCCTGACAGCTAAGGTAGATGGTTGGGAATATGGGACTAGGATATCATAGCTATTACAGAGATAAGGCTCAGGAATGGATCAGACTAGCAGCTTAATGTTCCAGGGTACAGATCCTATTGGAAGGAAAGAAAGGATGGGAAAGGGAGGAGGAGAAGTAACACTTTTGATTAGGGATAACATTATGTCTGTACTTAGGGAGGATCTTCCTGGGAGTAAGTGCAGTGAAGTTATATGGGTGGAACTGAGAAATAAGAAAGGGATGATCGCCTTATTGAGATTTCACTGTAAAACCCCAATAGTTAGCCAAAAATTGAGGAGCAAATTTTTAAGGTGATCTCAGATATCTGTAAGAATATTAGGGTGGTAATGGTAGGGTATTTTAACTTTCCAAACATAATCTGGGACTCCATAAGGCTTGGATGGAGAGGAATTTGTTCAGTGTGCACAAGAAAATTTTCTTGTTCACTACTTGGATTTACCTATTAGAAAAGGAGCAAAAGTTGACCTTCTCTTGGGAAATAAGGCAAGAAAGTGAATGAGGTGTCAGTGGGGGAGTACTTAGGGGCAAGTGATCATAATTCTATTATTTTAAAATAGTTATAGAAAAGGACAGACCTGATCTAAAAGTTAAAGTTCTAAATTGGAGGAAGGCCAATTTTGATGGTATTAAGCATGAACTTTCAAAAGTTGATTGGGGGCGATATTCACAGATATTTGCAGATATAGGGACAGCTGGAAGTGGGAAGCTTTCAAAAATGAAATAACAAGAGTCTAGAGATGTTATGTTCCTGTTAGGGTGAAGGGCAAGGCTGGGAGGTTTGGCGAATGCTGGGTGACTAAAGAAATTGAGGTTCTGATCAAGAAAAAGAAGGAAGCATATGTCAGGTACAGACAGCAGGGATCGAGTGAATCCCTAGAGGAGTATAAGGGCAGTAGGAGTATACATAAGAGGGAAATCAGGAGAGAAAAAAGGGGACATGAGATAGCTTTGGAAAATAGGGTTAAGAAGAATTCAAAGGGTTTCTCAAATGCATTAAGGACAAAAGAGTAATTAGGGAGAGACTACGGCCCCTTAAAGATCAGCAAGGCCACCTAAGTGTGGAACTGCCGGAAATGAGTGAGATACTAAACAAATATTTTGCATGAGTTTTTACTCTGGAGAAAGATATGGAAGCTAGAGAACTTAGGGAAATAAATAGCAACATCTTGAAAAGTGTCCACATTACAAAGGAGGTGGTGCCGGATGTCTTAAAACGCATAAACGTGAATAAATCCCTGGTACTTGATCAGGTTTACCCTAGAAGCTAGGGATGTGATTGCGAGAATGCTTGCTGAGATATTTGCATCATTAATAGCCATGGGTGAGGTGCCAGAAGACTGGAGGTTGGCTTATGTGGTGCCATTTTTTAAAGAAAGGTGGTAAGGAAGAGCCAGGGAATTATAGACCTGTGAGCCTGACATCAGTGGTGGACAAGTCATTCCAGGGGATTCTGAAGGACAGGATTTACATGCATTTGGAAAGGCAAGGACTGATTATGGATAGTCAACATGGCTTTGTGCATGGCAAGTCGTGTCTGACAAACTTGATTGGGATTTTTGAAGAAGTGACGAAAAGGATTGATGAAGGCGGAGTAGTGAACATTGTCTACATAGACTTCAGTGAGGTGCTCGACAAGGTTCTGATTGGTAGACTGGTTAACAAGGTTAGATCACATGGAATACAGGGAGAACTAGCCTTTTGGATACAAAATTGGCTTGCAGGTAGGTGACAGGGGGTGATGAAGGAGGGTTGCTTTTTGGACTGGAGGCCTGTGACCATTGGTGTGCCACAAGGATTGGTGCTGCATTTATTGCTTTTTGTCATTTAAATAAGTGATTTGGATGTGAATATAGGATGTTTGGTTTGCAGATGACACCAAAATTGGTGGTGAGGTGGACAGCAAAGAAGGTTACCTCAGAGTACAACGGGACCTTGATCAAATGGGCTGATAGGTTGAGGAGTGGCAGATGCAGTTTAATCCAGATAAATGTGAGGTGCAACATTTTGGTAGGGCAAATCAAGACAGGAATTATACACTTAATGGTAAGGTCCTGGAGAGTGTTGCCAAACAAGGAGGTTCATTGTTCTTTGATAGTGGAGTCATAGGTAGACAGGGTAGTGAAGAAGGCATTTGGTATGCTTGCCTTTATTGGTCAGTGCATTGAGTATCGAAATTGGGAGGTCATGTTGCAGCTGTACAGGACATTGGTGAGGCCACTTCTGAAATAATGCTTTCATTTACGGTCCCCCCTCTATAGGAAGGATGTTGTGAAACTTGAAAGGGTTCAGAAAGGTTTTACAAGGATGTTGCCAGGCTTGGAGGGTTTGAGCTATAGGGAGAGACTGAATAGGCTAGGGCTGTTTTCCCTGGAGTATAAGAGGCTGAGAGGTGACCTAATAGGAGTCTATAAAATCATGAGGGAAATGGATAGGGTGAATAGTCAAGATCTTTTCCCCAGGATAGGGCAGTCCAAAACTAGAGGGTGTAAGTTTAAGGTGGGAGGGAGGGGAAAAATTTTAAAAAGGACATAAGGGGCAACTTTCACGTAGAGGGTGGTGTGTGCGTGGAATGAACTGCCAGAGGAAGTGGTGAAGGCTGGTATAATTACAACATTTAAAAAACATCTGGATGGGCATATAAATAGGAAGTGTGTAGTGTGTAGAGGGATATGGGCCAAATGCTGGCAAATGGGACTACATCTATTTAGGATAACTGGTCAGCATGGACAAGTTGGACCGAAGGGCCTGTTTCCGTGCTGTACATCTCTACAACTCTCTGACTGGGGCTGACACCAAATGGACAGTTAAATTATATAAATGCAAATGCTAAAAAAAAGTTACATCTCTAAACCAAAGGAGGCACTAATACATGTAACTACCCTTTTTCATCCCATTATGATAAAGATACAATAACCTATCTTTACAATTGACCTCTATTGGTTTTGAGAAATTTTACAAATGTGATTTACAAATTCAGTCCATGTTTAAAATTTCTAGAAGTCATTTTCAAAATTGAAACACAATTTAAGAAACCATAAAATTAGAATAGAGAGGTGATAACCAGAATGCTTTACAGTACACAATATGAAAAATCTGTGAACAAAAATAACTCCCCTTTATATATGTATAAAATAAATTGCAAAGGAATATCACAAGAAACTGACAGATAATGTTATTACCAGGAAGAACCAATTGAGTTTTAAACTCATCCATTACAAATTTAACTGTTAATCATCCAGTATTGATTCAATCCTACAAGAAGAGATTTTGTGTGCACGCCAGGTACCAAAATCACAAATTCATTCTTTACAAATGTATCTACATTTGTGCTCTGCATGATATATGAATATCTTTCTCCAGTCCCCAATATCTTTCTTAGTGAAGAGTTGTTTTTAAACGATTTGAATCCCTGGATTATGAGATGTTGTAAAAATCATTCATAATTCCTTATTACAAGTTTTTTTTGTCATCAGCGTCCTTCTATCTATGTAAGATGATGGACAGGCAGCAAGTCCATTAGGGATGAAAAAGTTTCACAAAACTCCTTTTCATAAAGTTTGTTCAGCAAGCTTTGGTTAGTATATCATTTATTTTGAATTCCTCGCAAGAAATTGAAATGTCAAAGCAGAGATTACACAAGTTCAGCTTTCAATTGCTAAGAATTACAATTATGAAAACAACAAGAATGTCAGAATTCAAAAATACTAACATTTTCTTCGTTTTTATAAAATACAGAAACGGCACAAAAGAAATACTTTACCTGTGTTCGTCTGAGGTAAAATACAGCAATGCTTCTGCAGAATACGTGGTATCTGTGCAAGGAATACAAAATAATATTATTTATAAAATGCAATACTAAAATTTGACTCCATTCTTGTCCTTTAAAACCATTAGTGCATGAGAAAATGATTTCATTTTTATCAGACCATTTTAGGCAGTAAAAGTCTATTTAGCCCCATGAGCCTGTCCCATAAGTCAGTCAGATCCCAGTTGATCTGATATGCACTTAACTCTCTTTTCACCCATTCCCCCCCACACCCCCATAGCTCTCAACTCCTTATCAATCAGCTCTCACTTCATCTAGCTTGAATATATTTATTAGGAAGGGGAAGTCAAACCCCTCTGATAATTAAAATCGAAACATAAGCCCCCAATCTGTTATGGTGGGAGCAGAGGTCCCCTTCTAATAATTAAACTGGAACCATCCAGAGAAGCTCGCCTCACCTTGCCTAATCTATTAAAAAGGCATGGTTAAATTAAAGAAAATCCCTGGAATTCACTTTATAAGCAACTTGTAACAATTTATTTATTTAACCTTATCAGTGAACAAATTAACAGAACTACTAACAAATCGAACAATTCCTCCTTAACTACTGACTATCTCCAAACAGACCAAAATTTTAATGGTATGCTATTCCAGTAAATATAAGCCCCACTTATAAAAGCCCAAGTAATAATAAAACTAAATTAAAACTTAGACTCTCAAAAGTACAACCAGGTTAAGTCTTCTGGAATGTTCTTTGCCTTCTCCGCTGATCCATCTGTCAGGATTGCTTTCTCTGGAAATTCTTCTGTCAGGAATCTTAGTTAGGAGTGCCGTGGTATCTTTATGAATAGATGGTGCTTTTTCAAAGAGCTTAGAGATTTCTGTGAGAGCCGGATATTTACTCTTCAGATGGCAGTTTGTTCTCACACTGATTTTCAAAAGCCCTCTTCTCATATACCCCCAATGACCTGTCAGTTTACTTATAATAGGATTGGTGCAAGGTTGTCAAAACCATCAGATTTAAATTCAATTGGTTTTCAATTTCTAAGTGCTTGGTTTAAATTAATTGGCTGATCTTCAAGCTAGTTGCCAAAATATCAAAACAAGCTTAAGGTTTCCAATCACACAGCCAATTGATACATATTTCAATTTCAGAACTGTCTGCACCTCATCAGCTGCTTACAAATACATTTGCATTTAAATCCCCAAACTTAGAAAAGCATATCTCCGCTTAAAGGAACTACACACTCTTCCTCCCACTACCATTTTTACAAACAAATTTTACCTTCCTGCCTTCCAATTCACAAGCACTCAACACAAATTTGCAACAATATTCGATACATTTACTCTTGCACAAGGGGAATTCTCTCAACATTTCTGCTGTTAAGTCTTCTCGGAATCTTATATATTTCAATAAAATCACCTTGTTCTTCTAAACACAAATGAAAATCTTTAGGTTCAACATGCTCAACCTATCCTCATTAAACAACACACTTGTTCCTTGACATGGCTTTTTGAATCTTCTCTGAAATGTCTCCATTCCTAAAGGCAGCCAAAATTGCAGAAAGTACTCTGATTTGTCTCATCAATGCCTTGTACAGTTGAGCAAGACTTATTAACTTTTATATTTCATCCTCTCGCAATAAAATCCAGAATTTCATTTGCATTCTTAATTACTTGCTGTACAAGCATGCTGGCTTTCTGTGTTTCATATATGAGGATGCTTATTCCCCTCTGTACCATAGAATTTAGAAAGGTCTCTATTTAAATAATACTGTTTTACTACTCCTCCTGGCAAAGCAGACAACCTCGCATTCGCCCACATTACACTCCAGTTGCCAAATTTTGATCACTCCTTTAACCCATTGACAGCCTTTTGCAAACACAGTTTGCTTTCCTACCTAAATTCATATCATTAGCAGATTTGGCTACAACAATCAGTCTCTTTATTAAAGCCATTACTAAAACAAGTAAATAGTTGAGGTCCCAGCACTGATCCCTGCAACATTCCACTGGTTAACCAGTTGTGAACCCTGAAATGACCCATTTAATCCTAATTCTATTTCTTGTAAATTATACAATCCTCTAGCCATGCTAATTCATTACCCCATTGTTGTATTCTCTCATCTTATAGAGTCATACAACACGGAGACAGACTCTTCAGTCCAACTTGTCCGTGCCGACCCAGTTTCTGAAACTAAACTAGTGCCATTTGCCTGCATTTGGCTCAAATCCTTCAAAACCTTTCCTATTTGTGTACCTGTCCAAATGTCTTTTAAAGCTGTAACTGTACCAGCGCCTACCAATTTCTCAGGCAGTTCATTACGTGCAGGCACCACCCTCAGCGTGAAAAAGTTGCCCCTTAAGTCCTTTATAAAATCATTCCCCTCTCACCTTAAACCCATTCCCTCTAGTTTTGGACTTCCTTACCCTAGGGAGAAGACCTTTGCTATTCACCTTATCTAAGCCCCTCATGATTTTATAAACCTCTATAAAGGTCACCCCTCAACCTTCTACACTTCAGTGAAAATGTCCCAGCCTATCCAGCCTCTCCTTATAACTCAAACGCTCCAGTCACAGTAACAACCTTGTAAATATTTTCTAAACGCTCTCCAATTTAATACTATCATTTCTACAGCTCGAAGTTTCTACATTTTTGAAGTTCTGCAGAAGGGTCCCGACCCGTAACTTCAGCTTTCCTGCTCCTCTGATGCTGCCTGGCCTGCTGTGTTCCTCCAGCTCCACACTGTGTAGCCTCATGTCTAAGAATGTAAAAATACTAGAATCCATTATTAAAGAGATGATAGCAGGACATTTTTAGGAAATTATAATACAAATAAACAGAATCAACATGCCTTTGTGAAGGGAAAATTATGTTTAACAATTTTATTTGAGTTACTTGAGCAAGTAATAAGCAAGGTAAACAAAGAGAGCCAATAGATGCAACATATTTGGACTTCCAAACATATTTGACAAGCCCGGACAAAAGAATGTGCTGCGTTCCTCCATCTCCACACTGTGTTATCTCAGACTCCAGCATCGGCAGTTCTTACTATCTCTTAGACATGAGGCTACCTGGCTTATTATTTTTTGCTGTCTATCTCCCTGTTTATTTTTCGAACTGAGGCTATATTGCAAATATAATGTGAAGGAGACCTTCACATTAGATTCATATTGTAAAATGTATGCTTTAAAGTTAATTATTGTTAAAAACAAAAAGTGAGGCAGATATTATTGTAATTGTTTTTGAATCAAAATTCAATTACTGTTCTGTTCTGTTGAAATATGCTATTGCAGAGTACCACAGAAATATATGAGAATTCTCCTTGTGTTGTTGAGGTGGGATTTTTGCAACAGTATTTAAAGCACTTGTAATTTAACATGACTATTCAATTTACAATAATGAAATATAAATAAACATTTACAATAATTTGGATGGTAGTTGTGTTTTGATATATCTTCTATAACTTACCAAGTACCTTTTGTAAATATATTAAAATTATATTTTGTTGCTATTAATTGCAAATTAATTCTGTTTTAGAATACCATAATAAAAACAGCACAATCATATGGCCATACATATTAGGAACCACTTGGCCCCACAAGCCTGCTCTACCAGTCATGAGATCATTGCTGATATGTTTGTGTTCCAAACTTCACATTCCCAAGATACCCAATAACCTTCGATTCTTTTTAGGCAAGGGAATCAATCTATCTTGCTATGTTTCCATCGGTGGGAAAATTATGCAAGTTGATATCAGATTGCAGATTGCCACATTCAGAAGTTGTACAATTTTCAAAATAATAAATTAATACATATTTAATACAAATTATTTTTTACTGTAGAAAGTAGATGTTGGTGATAGATCAGAGAAATAATCATAAAACATCACAAACTAAAATCAGATTCTGATGTTTACGAAAGGTTTACTTGAAATAATCGTCAAGGACGTGAAAATGATACCAGTCTCTATTAATTTTAATTTCAAATCTGAGCACTTTTAAAATAATATAAAGAATCATTGTAAATCAACGAGACACAACATTTTGTAAAGACTATAAAACATCATATTATTGTATGAAACCTTGCATGGATCCATCGAGCGTCAATTTAGTTCACTCACATAAGTGTGAAATACTGTGGATGCTGGAAACCTGAAACAAACATAGAAAATGGTGGATAAACTCAGCAAGTCTGGCAGTGTCTGTGGAGAGAGAAACAGTGTTGGTATTTTGAGTCCAGAATGATTTTTTTTTTCAGTTCTGACGCGGTCAGATCTGCTGAATTTCTCCAGCATTTTGAGTTTGCATCAATTTAGCTCAAATTGTTTAGATTTACTGATAAATGTTTCACCGAACAATCAGAGTTGCATGACATATAGAGATCAAACTGATATGTAAAATACCTTGCAGCTATTAACAATATTTCTGTGGATGTGCACAATAAATAAACTCTGTTAAAGTGACGCAAGTGTTTAAGCCAAACATCATTGCTTAAATTGAGCACATATTTTATGCTGCTTTATTGATTGACCACATCAACTAACATTGGCCGTTGCTAATGTGCACATTCAGAGGAAAAATGATGTTTAAGAAGTATGGTCTATGAATTCACAGCAGCAAACTGTAGTCTATTGCATTTCAGGTAAGGTTAAGGTAGTTTCCAATGTATTCTGATAAGGAAGGAAAGAGTAAAATTGTCAGTCCTCCAGAGGTATAATAGTTCCTCTCTTTTCCAGCACCACATCTTAAGAGGGTGTTAACAATCACAGACTTCCATTTGAAGTATCTTGGTCAATGAATACACTTAGTTGCTGCAGTAGTTAGCTATTGCTTTCCACAGAATGCTTTTCTGGTGGTCTCCTACCTACAGTGGCTGCCACCAGACATATTGGAAGCACTTGCAGGTTGATAATCAACCTGTTTGCCCAGTTATGAGCACGCCTTCTGTGGTCCTAAAGGCTGGAAAAGGACTCAAACTCAAAGCCACTGGCTTGGAGGCTAGTACAGGACTGTCACAAGACCTCTGGTGTAAGATTACCCTTG